TTAAAACGTTGGGGCTGGTGGCTTGAAAAATATAAATGTTGGAAGGAGCAGGAAGGCCACACAGGAGAGGTCTGTCCTGGAATATTCATGCTTCCATCCATCCATCCATCCATCCATCCATCCATCCATCCATCCATCCATTATCTACCATGCATCCATCCATCCAACTGTCTGTCCATCCATCCACCAACAAGCTAATCCATTCATCTTCCATCCACCCAACTGCTCAGTGATGACATGGTCTTTGCAGGGTAACCCTGCTTCCACCTCCTTGCCTGCTGCCCACCCAGGAGCTACAGACAGAGGTGTAAGAGGCTGTGACAGGTCCGTGGGCCGGGGGTTCCCATAGGACTACAGAAGGTGGATCTCGGCACTAGCTTACCTGTGACCTTGGAAGTGGCACTGGAGCCCCTGGTTACTAGTCAAGACCGTGCACACAGTTGGTGCTAGATAGATGCTTAGTGAATATGTTACTTTGACCATTAGTCACTCTGTACCTTAAACTCCTATCTACGCGTCAAAGCCCCGACCCAATCGCCCTTAATGGACTAACCTTCACAGCGGCCTCAGTGCCCAGCTACAGGGGCTCCATTCACAGCGCCGCTACCCTAGTGGCCGGGGGCTCTGGGGGTGTTGTTTACAAAGGCCGCGCTGTGAGCGGTGTCCCAGGGCTGTGTAGTGCCCCGCCCTAGCAAGCCACTCTCACTCCCCTCCCCAGTGTGCACACCCAGGCGGCTGCCCATGTACCTTAGTGACCGCGCGGTGGGTGACTTGGCCCCCCGCGGGGCTCCTGTGCCACACCCCTGGGGCCTGAGAGTCTCCTCTAGAACCTCAGCCCGATCCCGGCTCAGCAGCCCCTCCCCACTGTGCATAGAACTAGCAAGACGAGCCCTGGTGGGTAACCTGGGCGTCAGGGAAGAGCAATAATGTAGGGGGACTCCGAGGGCCTGGGTGGTGGGGGCCTCCAGCACCTCAGCAAGGCAGAGCCCCCATGGACAGAAAGTTGGCTATGCCCCCTCACCCGCCCTGCTGCACCCAGATGCCAGGGGGACAGGCCATGCCAGCTGCGGGTCCCTCTCTGCAGTGACTTGGTTCCTGGGGTCAGTCAAGGGCAGGGGTCTGGCCACAAGTGCACCAAAAACCAAGCTCCCTGCTCCCCAGTCCCACTACAAGGTCCCAACCACACCGACGCCGTGTGCTCCACACCGACTGCTGCCACATGCTTCTGTCTTTATACACAGTAGCTTTTCTAACGATGTCCTTGGGTTTTAATAAAGGAGTGTGCTGTCACCTCTTGCCTCGGCGACATTTGCTTCCCTGCGTCACCGCCAGCTGGTGGCTGTGTGTGTGTGTGTGTGTGTGTGTGTGTGTGTGTGTGTGTGTTGGTGGCGGAGGATGGTCCGGCATACCTGCAGTTTGGCACTCTGAGGCCCCTCGCAGAAAGTCTGTGGGTGCCACAGAAGGAAGACGGCATGGTGCCCCTGGAAGACGTGGGTTGTTTGTGGCCCCGTGGCCTGTCCTGTGGGGTCACCCTGAGTTAAGAGTCTACCCCTTGGCCACGCTATTTTGAGAGGGGAGAGGAGGGTGGGGCAGGAGGCAGAAGGCCTGGGGTTTCAGATGAGGTTTTCCTCAGGGGTGCAGGGAGAGGGGTGGTCACACAAGTCCACAGACCCAGAGAGGGGAGGCCAAGTCCAGGGGCAGTCTGACAGGCTGTGAGGCTGGAGCAGGACCAAGCACTGTTTTG